CTCCACTCATGCCTCAGGCAGACGCCTGCCTTGCTGCCATCCCTCCTGCCCTGGAGATAGCTACCAGCTACTAAAGAGCCAGGTCTCTCCCCAGGGCTCCTAGCTCTCCCAGCTCTGGAACAGAGCCTGGGACCCAAAGCCATCATATGTGGGGACACTGAGCTGGTGCCAGGCACTCTCCCAAGCCCTTCGGATGGCACCTCACTGACTGTTCTCCAAGCCTCTGAGGCAGGAACTACTACCCTACTCTGCAGATGGGTAACCTGAGGCTCCAAGTGGTTAAGTGACTTGCTGGAGTAAATAGGGAAGGGGAGATTTGAACCCTAGCATTCTGACTTCCACACTACTCCCTTAACCACTGTGCCAGACCAGCTTCTCCATGGGACTGGCCTTCGGGATTCGGAGACAGCTATCTGTTCGCCGTAGCCTTCACAAGAATGACTGCAAGGCAGGGCTCACATCCCTGGCCATTCTCGGGCGGCTGTGGTGCACAGACAAGCCCTGCTCAGGCCCTCCTTCTACTCACCCCAGGCAACCCCTGACTGACAACAGGCAGCTGCCACACTGCAGCCTCTGGCACCAACTTTTTATCTTATTTTATCTTTTTTTTTTTTTTTTGAGACGGCGTCTCGCTCTTTCGCCCAGGCTAGAGTGCAGTGGCGGGATCTTGGCTCACCGCAAGCTTCGCCTCCCGGGTTCACATCATTTTCCTGCCTCAGCCTCCCGAGTAGCTGGGACTATAGGTGCCCACCACCACACCTGGCTAATTTTTTGTATTTTTAATAGAGATGGGGTTTCACCGTGTTTGCCAGGATGGTCTCAATCTCCTGACCTCGTGATCCACCCGCCTCGGCCTCCCAAAGTGCTGGGATTACAGGTGTGAGCCATCACGCCCGGCCATTTTATCTTATTTTTTGAGACAGAGTCTTGCTCTGTTGCCCAGGCTGGAGTGCAGTGGCGTGGTATCAGCTCGTTGCAACCTCTCCATCCCAGGTTCAAGCAATTCTTGTGCCTCAGCCTCCTGAGTAGCTGGGAGTACAGGTGCCTGGCACCACACTCAGCTAATTTTTGTATTTTAAGTAGAGACTGGGTTTCACCATGTTGGCCAGGCTAGTCTCGAACTCCTGACCTCAGGTGATCAACCCACCTCAGCCTCCCAAAGTGCAGGGATGACAGGCGTGAGCCACTGTGCCCAGCCAACTTTTTATCTTATTTTAAAAACTACATACATAATGCATACATTCATATATGGCAACATTTCAAACACCATGTCCTGTTCTTAATGCAATGCTTTTTAATCTTTTCCCGAATAAATCCAAAGAGGGGTGGCTCAGCGCTCAGTAAGCGCCAGAGGCCATGCGTTTTGTTTTCTCCTCCCCCAGAGCTAATCCTGAACAAATAAACAGCAACGACAGCAACAAAAAACAAAACAACACAAACCAAAGCATTGTGTTAATGAGCCTGAACCATTTCCACAAGTCCAGACAGTGGATAAACAGATGGCAGCACCTTCGGAAGCAAATAACCTCTGGTCAGAAGTTTGGGGTGCAATGCGTTTCCCTGCACCCTTGCTAGTTGAAGATGGTCTACCTGTCCCCTGTTTATGTAGCAGACATGTGCATACTACGTGGGCTTGTTTCCTAGTGTCCAGACCAAAATACAAGCTGAATGAAGGTAATCGTCGCTCCCCCAGTCCAAGCAGCAGCGGGAGAGGCAGGGGCTGCAGGAGGAGGCGGCCCAGGAGCTAAGGGGGCGGGAGGTGTCTCCCTCCAGGCCGGCCTGGACCGTTTCTTCCCGGGCTTTCCCTACCTGGGACCGATCCCGCGACAGGTCAGGAGCCCTCGACTGACAAACTCAGGGCCACAGGGAGCTGTTCCTCGGAAAACCATCGAAACCGCTTAGTAACCAACTCTCTGGGTCAAGGCCCCCGCCCAGATCCTTCTCCCTGTCCAGGGAGGGCCTGGCTCTGGCTCCTCGGGGGAACTAAGGCCTCGGGATTGGCACAGCCCTGCAGGTCGGAAGGAGCGCGGGGGCTGGGAGGAGCTTGCTGGCGATTTCCACCTGCACCCGCGCCCCGCACCCCTGCCTCTTCCCGGGGTTACCCTGCCAACGGCCCTCGGAGCCCGGGGTGGAGAGGGGACAGCAGGAGGAGGGCCCTCCCGGAACCCCTGCGGGGCTGTATTTGGCGCCAAAGGCGGCCGGAGCTGAGGGCAGGACCCGCATCTCCTCGCAGTCTCGACTCTGGCCGCTCCAGCCCCTCGCGAGCGCCAAGTCCCAGGGGCCGATCCAACTCCGAGGGAGCCCCTGTGTCGCCTTGTCCCAGCTCGTCCCCGATCGCCCTCCCCTCACCTCCCAGCTTCGGAGCTGCGAGCCCAGGTGCCTGCCCAGCCCTGCGCTCCAGCTCCTGCCTGCGGAGCCGAACCGCGCCCCGGCCCCGGCCCTCCTACCTGCAGCCGTCGCAGCTCCGGGCATCGGCGTCCGTCCCGGCCGGCCTGGCGCGGGCCCCGGCTTCGCTGCGTCCCCTTCGCAGGAGCACAGGCCTCGGGGCGGGTGCGCGGGCGGGGAGGCAGGGCGGGCGGCCCGGCCCCTAGGCGGGTTATATGGGCGCGGGGAGGGGAGGCGCCGCGGGGAGTAGGCGGCCGCCGGCGTTAGCGCCTTTTTAGCCCGGCGCGCGGGAAGGCAGCGCGGGCCACCGAGTCGCGGCGGGGCCAAGGTCTCCTCCCGGCGCTCCGCCTTCCCAGATGGCCGCGTCCGAGTCGGGGTCCCGGGCGCGCTCCGCCCCGCCTCCTTCCCGCCGCCGTTTGGCGCGCGTCGCCCCTGCCGAGCCCGGCGAGGCCGCCCACTCAGGGCCGAAGCAGGTCAGGCGCCAGGGCCCCTCCCGCGGGCCAGACCCGACCACGACCTTCGGCTGGGCTGGGGACGCCGGTGCCGACTCTGCGCCCGACGCGTGCATTTCCCCCGGACTCCCTGCTGTCCCCCAGACGGCCCATCTTTCCCAACACCCGGATTCTCTCCGGGCCGCCGCCACTGGCGCTGGGCCCCTCGGCGCGCGGGGCGCTTGGAATCCAGGGGGCAGGGGATGTGGCCGGCGGGGAACAGGGGTGAGGGGCGGGGAACAGGGGTGAGGGGCGCCGCCCCAGGGCCAGGAGGAGGGGAACGGCTGCAGTCCGCCAAGCAGGGCTTGCCACCCACTCCGCCTGTGGAGCAGCGGTCCCGCCCGGCAGAGGATCCCGCGGAGACCCTCTGGGGGCTGCTCTCCCAACCCCAGCCGGAGTTTGGGCCCCATGTCCTTCCAGGGGTCACTCAGGATGCGAACACTACCGGGCGGCGGCCAGCACCCTGCTCCCTCCCCCGGCCGCCTCCTGTGGGCTCTGGCTCTGGATCCCCTCCGGTGTTTGGAAGGAGCTCGCGGGCGTCGGTGCGCTTGGAGTTGCTCTCTGCGCGCACCAGACCCGCGCTAGGTCAGGCCGAGACTCCCTTCCGGCTGGCGGCACAGGCCGTCCCGCTTGCCTGCTCCTCCTAGGCCACTGGGGCTTCCAGGGCCCTAGACCACGTACACCAGGCCCTGGCTAGGGGACCGGACATGCTGGGCGAGTTCCGAGCGGCTCTCAGTGGCGGCGCTGTTTATGGTCTGATGCTTATGGGGCCCGTGATCTGGCTCTGAACCGATGCCCTCTGCCCATGGTTACCCCCACGTCTTGGAAGGTGGCGTCACTGAAGCCCTAGGCGTCGCGAGCTAGCCGGGCTGGTGCAGACTGGGTTCTCTGGCCACAGCAGGTCCGCGCCTGACCGGGAGGGTCCGGCTGACTTCCGCACATCTTTATGGCTCACCCACTGTTTGCTGGGCGCACGGGGTGGGGACACAAAGACGAATCCCATGCAAGGGTTTGGGTCCAGTAGGGAATAGAAAAGGCCGGCACCGCCAGAGTAGGACGCGCGCGCACCACCATCCATTCCCCCGGGGAGGTTGGGGCGTCCGCGGGGAACAGACCCGAGGCTGGGCGCCCGAAGGTGCGAGCAAGACCCTGGCCGGCTCTCAGCTCCCAGAACCCAGGACCAGGCGGGGATGACAGGGTCTGTGCGTCTGGGGGGCCCTAGAGGCGCCGGCGGGGCCTGGCGCGGACTACTAGCGGCCTGCGGGAGCCAGGGGTGGAGGGGGCCGCTGTCTAGGGAAGAGGACCGGGGTCCGGAGTAGGGGAGAGGACGAGGCACGGCCTTGAGCCTGCGAGACCTGCGGACCACTCGCCCGCGCAGGAGCTCGCTCTCCGGTGCCTGGGGCGGCTGCTGCTGGGCCCCCAGGTCCCGGACCCGCACGATTCTTCTCCCGGTGCCAGCCCAGATGCGCGCGGGTGAGGCACTGGCGGTGCCCGCGATCCACGCGCTCGCTCCGCCCAGTCAGCGGCAAATTCGTTCTCTCCTTGATCTCAGTGGCACTGCAGCGTGAGGCAAGGGCCAGGCGGCAGGTAGCGGGGCCGGACTCAGCAAAAGCAAACAAAACCCCAAGCAAACGAAATAAATACTTATACATTACATACACGATATAATATATGTGCGACAGACACCTTATTACATATTAAAGATATATTTGTATGCAAACATATATTTACATGTAAACATACATTTACATATAAATATAAATATATATGCATGTGTATACACACGCAGACACACAGGTCGCCCAATTAAATTTGAATTTCAGATTAGCGAGTAATTTTTCCGTATTAGCATGTTCCGTGCAATATTTAGGAACATACCTATAACTAGAAAGCGATTTGCTGTTAATCTGAAATTCAAATTTTACTATGCTTTCTACATTTTTATCCGCAGCCCTAGCTGGAGAGGACCCCAAGGCCTCCCGGCCTTGAGGTAAGGTTCTCTGGTCAGAAATCCCGGGTCGGAAGAAACGTGGGCGTTTCCCTTACAGCCCTGCGCTACAAGAACTACAAGCCCCACAATGCTGTGCGGCCCCCTGCAGCGCTGATAGGCTGCAGCTCACTTCCACTTTCTGACTTCCGGCCTCGGAGGCCGGCGGAGGCGGTTGCGGACTCCAGCGCGTCCAGGGGTCCCGCGGGTTTTCGGGCGCAGGGTGGCGCCCGCGGCAGGCGGCGGCCATGAACTTCTCCGAGGTGTTCAAGCTCTCCAGCTTGCTCTGCAAGTTCTCCCCGGACGGCAAGTACCTGGTGAGCGGCGGGGACCTGGGCCGCGGGCAGGACATCCTCGGTGCCAGCGTCCCCGGCGGGCAGGGCCGGGGGCGGCCGCGTGGCCCAGGGGTGGAGGCAGCTCGGGGATCCTGCAGGTGCGGTGCCCGGACAGGTGCAGGGCCTGGGCAGGTACCCGGGGCAGGTGCAGGGCCTGAGCAAGTGTCCCAGACAGGTGGGGGACCCAGGAAGATACCCTAGGCAGGTGGGGGGTCTGGGGAGGTGCCCTTGGAAAGGTGGTTATCTGCAGTGCCGACTGCACACAGGTGAGGGTATAGGAGATGTCGGCTCTTTGTTGTTATTTTGTCACAAAAGGCAAATTGATCATTCTGTTGCCTGTAAACTGGTAAGTGGTGTGGCTACTTTGTCGTCTCTACTTCTCCTCTAATTCTCTTCTCCTCTACCACATGCCGAATAAATGATTTAAATACTAGTATTCTATCCCCAGGTAGGGAAACAGTTGTCCTCATGGCTGGGATTTGAGGTCTTTGTTCCATGGGTGGCAGAAAGGTGCTTAAATCACAGAGCTATAACTTTTAAGCTTCAAAACATACAGTCTATGTACCTGGATGCCTAGTAGTGTATATCCTCAGAAGAGGGGGATAACCCAGATGCCGAGTACATATGTCCTCAGAAGGGGGATAATTGGCATTGGAAAGCCACTAAGAAAAAACATGCCTCCTAAAAAGTGGGCTTCATTTTCTTTATCCACCTCCTCTGCTAACTGACTGATTCGTCAGGATGCTTTTTGAGGTTTTGCCTCCCCTGACAGTCCTGTGCTCTGTCTAGCCTTTGAGAGTTTAACTCTCAAATTACGTTTTTACCACTTCATGGAGGTTTAATCCAAATCACATAAAATATCATCAGCTACAAAACAGAAAACCTCATCAGTTTAAAAGGCACCTCAGCCTTGGTATATTTTTCAACGTGCCCCCTCCCCAATTAAATTAGAGGTTTGTTTTTTGTTTTTACCATTTGTGAAAATTTCAGTGAATTATAAGGAGAAAGAGTACATTTGCTTGCCTAACTTGGGTGTTTTTTCCGGCTCCTATGCTCTGGTCAAAATACCCTGAAACACTTGGTAATAATCTGTTACTGGAATCTTCTTGAAAGCCCTGAGGACTGGGGAGAGCAGGTCCATGCTTCTCGTTTTAGTATCTTGCAGTCGAGTTTATATGGTTCCTCAAGGTGTTGGTAAAAATATTCCATGTCATAAGGAATTCACTGGAACTGATCACAGTTTTCAAAGCTACAGTGTGAGAAAGTAAGGGCTGCGATAGCTGCTTGTTCCAGTCTGCAATCACCCGCCCGTCTCTCTTCTTTCCGATGGAAAACTAATGTGGCTTTCTCTTTTGGTATCAGTTCATAAAACACAAACTAGTTTGACCTTGATAAGTAAAACTAACGAAGCAGTTAACATTTAAAAATCAGTTCTTGATCTTTAAACTGTAGTATAATATACAATCAGCAGGTGAGTACTCAGGTGTTATTTATACTTGAAATTGTTTGCTTAGATAGGGACATAATCAACAAATATGGACATGAAGAAACTGCCTTTAAGAAAATAGTGCTAACACTTAAACATTTCCTGTTTTGTATTAGGAATAGGTTAACGGAGATAAATGAGCATTATATGAAGTGTCTTTACTTGTGCAGAAGTGAAAGCCTGTCTTTTGACCTTCTGTGTTTTGGCTCTGAGTTCAGCACTGCATAAGAGGATTGAGGCGTTCCTTGCCATTTTCCTTGTGAACTGGGAAGCCTTGATTCTTATCCTTTATAAATTTGAGGAAATTGCCTAAAAGTGTTTATAAAACTAGGAGAGGATTTTGGTTATTAGTTCACAGAAGAGCTTTTTCTCAATGCTACTTCCCATGTAAGTTTAGTTTTTGACATACAGTTAAGAAGGGACTTAAAAATGTCTTAAAGCTTTAAGTGGCGAGTTAAAACATACTCTTGGCCGGACGCGGTGGCTCACGCCTGTAATCCCAGCACTTTGGGAGGCCGAGGCGGGCGGATCACGAGGTCAGGAGATCAAGACCATCCTGGCAAACATGGTGAAACCCCGTCTCTACTAAAAATACAAAAAAAAAAATTAGCCGGGCGTGGTGGCGGGAGCCTGTAGTCTCAGCTGCTCGGGAGGCTGAGGCAGGAGAATAGCGTGAACCTGGGCGGCGGCGGAGCTTGCAGTGAGTGGCGATCATGCCACTGCACTCCAGCCTGGGCTACAGAGTGAGACTCCGTCTCAAAAAAAAAAAAACAAAACAAAACCTGGTTTGTATGTTTCAACATTACTCTTGTAGGAACTGATCTTTAGGGGCTGGGGATGTCACTGATGATCTAGACGTGAAACCTCTGGCAGGAGACAAGGCCACAGTCACTGAAGGCCGGGGCGGTAGCGTTCCGAAGGCCCCTCGCTTTTGGAGTGGAGAATTTCAGGTGCCTGCTTTCTTGTATTTTTTAGGCTTCCTGTGTCCAGTACCGGTTAGTGGTCCGGGATGTGAACACCCTTCAGATCCTTCAGCTGTACACGTGCCTAGACCAGATCCAGCACATTGAGTGGTCGGCCGACTCACTCTTCATCCTGTGCGCCATGTACAAGCGAGGGCTGGTGCAGGTGTGTGCTGCTGCGTCGCCTAGAATGTGGCAACCTTCTGAGTGCCACTTGGAAGGAGGGGTTTTGTTCTGTGCCTTTCTAGTTTGGAAAAAAAGTCAGTGCAGCTCAAAGCAAGTTTGCAGCACTTTGGGAGGCCGAGACAGGCAGATCACGAGGTCAGGAGATCGAGACCATCCTGGCTAACACGGTGAAACCCTGTCTCTACTAAAAAATACAAAAAACTAGCCGGGCAAGGTGGCGGGTGTCTGTAGTCCCAGCTACTCGGGAGGCTGAGGCAGGAGAATGGCGTGAACCCGGGAGGCGGAGCTTGCAGTGAGCTGAGATCCGGCCACTGCACTCCAGCCTGGGCCACAGAGCGAGACTCCGTCTCAAAAAAAAAAAAAAAAAAAAAAAATTATAATGTTCTCTGAAGTTCAAGAACACTTAAACTAAGGAAACTAATGTAGTCTTAATTTCTAAGCAGTATAGTTGAGAAACAGGAGGTGTTGACAGACAGCAGTCTAGCCACTCGGACATGGTGTGTTTCAGGAAGTCCTAAGAAGTCATGTTTTCTTATGTGTCCAGAGCTTAACTAAATGAGGTCTTAGGAATGACAATGTGAATAAACTGTTTTAAAACGACAACGAAATGAAATCACCAAGAAGCGTGGCTTACTTTTACAGTGGAACCCAGTACCAGCCCTTCATCAGAAAGGCTGTAAGACACCCTGTGTGATTGGGTCTCCGCTGGTTTTAAGCCAGCTGTCTGTCGGCAAGGCCTTGCTGTCGAGTGCTGATGAGTTCGCACTTGTGTGTTTCTTTCTTCTCTCAATCCAGGTCTGGTCTTTAGAGCAGCCCGAATGGCACTGCAAAATAGACGAGGGCTCAGCCGGGCTGGTGGCCTCGTGCTGGAGCCCGGACGGACGCCACATTCTCAACACCACGGAATTCCATGTAAGTGTCAGCCTCAAGGCACCTCACTGGCCGTGTGATCCTGTCCTCTGCTCCCAAAACAGCTGGGGAGTGTGCGAGGGGATGTCTGGAGTGTGCTAGTCTCTGCTCATCCCCAGGGGATGCATTCTAAGACCACCAGGGGATTCAGATCATACCAAACCCTGTATTTCCTATGTTTTTTCCTCTACAGCATACCTGTGGTATATTTAATTTATAAATTAGATACAGTTAGAGATTAGCAGCAATAATCATATAGAACAAGGATGACAATATACTGTTTATAATTGCATGGATGGAAGATTTGGTCTTACTGAAGATCTTAGCGACAACCTCAGCATAGGATTGTTTTTTTCTTTCCTTGTTGCGTCAAGAACTTTCAGCTTCTCATTTAAAGGAAGCACTTTGGGGCTTTTCTTTGGCATATCCAGATGGCCAGCACCACTGCCCATGCTTTAGGCTGTTACTGAGTCAGATAAGGGTGTCGTGAACACAGGCACTGTCTGCTGCCCTGGGTCTGATGACCAAGGTGGCTCCTGAGTGGCTGATAGATTGGGGGGGTGGAGGGGGGCCAGGAGCGTATATAGTGGTGTGTATATTTTAGGTCAGAACATTATAAGCCATTAAGTATTATTGTCTGATCTTTTGTCCAGTTTTAAAGAAAAAATTTTTAAAATCTTAATTTAGACTTTTTAGGATTTTGGCAGTCCCTATTCAGCGATAGAAAATGCCCTGTGATATGAGCCGGCTCACACTTTTCCTTCAGGAGCCTGGTCTTGGGGGCGGCTCGGGGCGTCGGCAGCTGCTGATTCACCTGCTGTAGGTACCTCACACCAGCCTCCGTGCTGAGCTCAGCGTGGAGGCGAATGTTGATATCCGAGAGTAAATCAGAGGGATCTGGGATAGGAAACTGCATTTAAGTTAAAATTAGGCATATGACAAGTGTTTAGATACCAGGTCTTTGGTGCCTGCAGTGTCTTTTTAAGATACAAAAAAATGCACGAATCTCTTTAATAATGTGCTTTTCTGATGGGGTTAGATCCCAGTGTTTGGGCCCAAGTCCACTGAGTGCTCATCGCCGTCTGGGCTGCTGGCTGCACCTCGGCAACCCTCCGTCCTGCTGCGCCGCGCACACCGCGCGGAAACCCGTGCGGCGCACGCCGCTCGGAAACCCGCCGTCCCAATGTGCTGCGCACACCGCGTAGCTGATGGCACGTGGGCGGATTTCTCCCAGCGTGAGGCTGCAGACGCCCTGTAGGGTTTCATTCGACTTTTTTCAAGCTGGCATCGGCTGGGATAAAGTTTTATCTGGCCATGGTGTTGCTGAATCAACTGCTTCAGATGGCTGGATGGGTTTACATCTTTTTCAGTTTAAATTTTAAAAAACATTCTAAATCTGATGTCTGCTATTATGGGCTGTCAGAGAATAAGACAGGAACCAAAGGCCCACCAGCGTCTCCGCACTATGTATTGACATTGGAAGACACTTTCAGCCCGAGTGTTTCAGAGGATGATTTGAGCTTTTCATGCAGCTGAGTCTAACAGTCTTCAGGCCTGTAATGCTTTGGGCCCAAATCTGTCCTCCAGAAGGCTCACGGCATGGGCTCAGCCTTGTTGTATTCTCTTATTAAATGGCCCAGAAGGAAAACTACCATCTATGGAGTTTAGAAACCTTAAAAGATGTATGAAAACCTGCTTTTGTTGAGCCTCCCATGTCACACACACCAATATTGAAAACACCTTTGCTACAGGCAAACTGATTTTTCGTAGAGTACATTTAGATGACATTGTTCCACCTAAGAGTAAGGTCATGACCACATTGCTGGTGGCCTCAGAGGAAACGTTAAGACCAGGTGGTGGACGAGGACTGGTAACCTCATCGCACGGGGCAGCTTGATCAAGATATCAAAATGTGTCTCCAACTTTGCATGCAAACTTAAATGACTGCAAGTGAGGAAACAAAACCGGAATTCCAGACGTGTCTGCTGGCCAGGAAGTGAGCCTGCAGGCACCATCCATCAGTCTCACTCACAAGAGCGAGGACCAGGCCCGTTCTCTGAGGCTTAGCGGGGCCACTGGGTCCCCTTCCGAAGGCACCACCCCATGTCCGGAGATTAGCGGGGTCACTGGGTCCCCTTCCGAAGGCACCACCCCATGTCCGGAGATTAGCGTCCGGCTGCACCACCCCATGTCCGGAGATTAGCGCTACTGGGCCCTTCCGAAGGCACCACCCCATGTCCGGAGATTAGCGGGCCACTGTCCCTTCAAGGCACCACCCCATGTCCGGAGATTAGCGGGGCCACTGGGTCCCCTTCTGAAGGCACCACCCCATGTCCGGAGATTAGCGGGGTCACTGGGTCCCCTTCTGAAGGTACCACCCCACATGAGGGTGCTGTAGAGCATGAGAGACATCCCTGCCTCTTGCACTTTAACGTGAAAAGGCAAGCTTGCACCCTTTACACAAGGTTCAGTGAGTCATCAAAAGCAGCTCACCCCTAGGCCTGCAGTGGAACACCGCCATGCTTTCAGAGCCCTGCTCTCCCTCATAGCAATGCCCTCCCCACCCGAGGGCACCTTTGTCCTGCATCTTGTGTGAGTCACATCCTCACTGTTCTTGAGTCTCACTGTATAGATGTGTCTAAACACCACATTGCTTGGTGTGCAGTGTAAAGCTGATTTATAGGGGCTCGTACTTTGCAGTCTCTGCTGTTGCTTATTCACGTCACTGTTTTTAGACTCCTCCGTGTTGACAGGCATCGCTGGGCCTTCCCTTCCTTGTGAGGAACGCCATTCAGTCCTTCCCTGCTGGATGTGTGCGTCTCCACGGACTGTGTGGCTGTGAATGTGTTGTCCACGTCTCCTGGGTACATATCCAGAGAGCCCCTCTAGGAGAGCCTTGCTTGGCTGTAGCAGATGGAGAGGTTTCATTTGCCAAGGCTTTTGTGGCAGGATTACAATGATTCCATCCAGGCGACTAAATGATACTGCCGTTTGGATTTAGTTTGCATTTCCCTAATTATTGGTGAGGTTGAGTGCTTTCCTATCTTGTTTCATTACACACATGCTCACACACATGCTCACGCGCTCACACACGTGCTCACACATGAGCTCACACATGCGCTCACACATGCTCTCACATGTGTGCTCACACACTCACGTGCTCATACATGCGCTCACACACACGTGCTCACTCACACGTGCACTCACACGCGCTCACTCTCACATGTGTGCTGACATGCTCACACGTGCTCATGATCACACATGCACTCACACGCACCCTCACGTGCTCTCACACATGTGCTCACATACTCGCACTCACACATGCGCTCACACACACACATGCTCCATTTAAATGAAGCAGGTTCACATGGAGTTTATGGTGGGGCACAGTGTGGGGTCTGAATCCATTTCTACCTTTTCCCGGCAGCATTTTTTTTTTTTTGAGATGGAGTTTCATTCTTGTACCACAGGCTGGAGTTCAGTGGTGCGATCCAGGCTCACTGCAACCTCCGCCTCCCAGGTTCAAGCAATTTTCCTGTCTCAGCCTCCCAAGTAGCTGGGATTACAGGTGTGTGCCACCATGCCTGGCTAATTTTATACTTTTAGTAGAGATAGGGTTTCTCATGTTGGTCAGGCTGGTCTCAAACTCTCGACCTCAGTTGATCTGCCCACCTTGGCCTCCCAACGTGCTGGGATTACAGGTGGGAGCCACCGCGCCTGGCTCCCAGCAGCATTTATTTAGAAGACTATCTTCACCAGCTATAGCAGGAACTCAATTCCGTTATACCTGCAGGATCATTTCTGGTTTTCCATTCCGGTCCACTGTTGGTCCATATATGTGCCAACGCCACACTGTCTACATTATTGAGGTTCTGTAGTATGTTTGAATATCTGCTAGGACAGATTTCTCTTTATTGTTCTTGTAGTCCGTCAGGTTTAAAAAAAAATTTTTTTTTGTAGAGTTGGGGGTCTCCCTTTGTTTCCCAGGCTGGTCTTGAACAACTAAACTCAAGCAATCCTTCCTTCCCAGCCTCCTGTATAGCTGGGATTACAGGTGCACAACAGTACACCCAGCTCTGCCAGATTTTTAAATGTATTTTTGAGACTTTGTTGTTAGCTGCATACAAACTTTTAACTGTTTGTAAACCGATTTCCTAGTGAAGCAGTTTTCATGCTTTCACAGTGGCCCAAGCCTTTTGTTGTAAAGTATTCCTCTTTCTGTCTCATGGTTCTTTTTGTTTCAGAGTCTGATTTTTCCAGTACGAATGCGGCAGTGCCACCTTTCTCTGGGTTAGGATTTTCATGAAATGTCTTTTTCTATCCTATTACTTTCTACATTTCTACATCCTTAAACTCGAGTGTGTTGTAAATAGCCTATAGTCAGCTTTAAAAATACATCCAGACTGAAAACTTTTTCTTATATCTGAATAAAGGCAATTAAAACAATTTATAAGCAATAAAATTCACCCACTTTAAGAGGATAGTTGAGTGAGTCACTTTGCACATTGTTGCCACCACGATCAGGACTGAGGCTGTTCACTCCATGGTGCGGGGCTGCTCGTGCCCCTTGTGCTCAGTCCGTCTCCCACCTGTGCCCGGCAGTGGGTACCTGCTGCAGGGTGAGCAGCACTGCCTCCTTGGAATCCCATCTGCACAGAGCCGTGGTGCATGGAGCTGTGCATCTGCTTCCTTTCCCCTGGCGCCTGGCTGGTTTTGAGTGTGCTGGGTCGTGGCGTGGATCGGTGGCACGTTCCTCCATCTTGAGAGTGCTGGGTTGTGGCATGGATCAGTGGCCTGTTCTTCCCATCTTGAGTGTGCTGGGTCGTGGCCTGGATCCGTGGCCCATTTCTCTCACCCCGAGCATGCTGAGTTGTGGTGTGGATCCGTGGCCCGTTCCCCTCCTGCCAGGCATGCTGAGTTGGCGTGTGTATTGTGGATCTGATGGCCGTTTCCCTCACCCCGAGCATGCTGCTGAGTTGTGGGTGTGGATCACCGTTCCTCACCCCGAGCATGCTGAGGTTGGTGTGGATCCGTGGCCCGTTCTTCTCACCCCTGAGCATGTGCTGAGTTGTGGTGTGGATCAGCGATGGCCCGTTTCCCTCAAATCTTCAGCACTGGGTCGTAGCAGGATCAGCAGCCCCCATTCCTTCCCTCCTGAGCGCACTGGGTCGTGAATTGTGGATCCCTACCTGGTTCTCTCTTCCTGCTGCTGGGCGCTGTGGAGCCTCCACTTGGAAGTCTCTGCTGAGAAGCTGCCAGTGCTCAGGGGAAGGTAGCAGTGCTGATGAAGGTGTACATATTTAACCACCTTTTTTTTTCTCACCCTGGGTTTTTTAAAAAGTTGCAAACAGTTATCTTTCCAGAGAAGTTTTTTTGTTTGTTTTGTGTGGGAGATGAAAGAGGTAAAAATGAGGCTTAAGAGTGCTCCGTGCGTTTCCTAAGATGTGCCTGGTGGAGCGGCCTTCACCCCGAGCATGCTGAGTTGTGGTGTGGATCCGTGGCCCGTTCCCTCCGTCTTCAGCACACTGGGTCGTAGCATGGATCAGCAGCCCATTTCTTCCCTCCTGAGCGCACTGGGTCGTGGTGTGGATCCCTGGTTCTCTCTTCCTGCTGCTGGGCGCTGTGGAGCCCATCCCATGAGTCTCTGCTGGCTTCTCCAGTGCTCAGGGGAAGGTAACAGTGCTGATGAAGGTGTATATTTAACCACCTTTTTTTCTCACTGGGTTTTTAAAAGTTGCAAACAGTTATCTTTGAAAGTTTTTTTGTTTGTTTTTGTGGGAGATGAAGGTAAAAATGAGGCTTAAAGTGCTCCGTGCGTTTCCTAAGATGTGCCTGAGTGGGCAGCCTTGGCCAGGCTCACCCCACGGGGATGCAGGGCCATGAGTGGGAGATGTGCTTTTCTCCTGTGACTCTGCAGTGGGCTCTGGAGGTGGGTCTCTGCCCTGGGTGGCACAAGGACGCTCCTGATGCCCAGAGGCTCGGGCGCTCCACCCTGCCCTGCTGATGCTGAGCGGCTTGGGCAGGGTTTCAGCCTCAGACAGGCTGGTGGGAAGTAGCACACTTCCTCGCTCAGGCCCCAGCACCCTCCTTGGCCTCAGCTTGCGGAGCTGTTAGAGGAGCAAGTGCTCTGTCCAGCTGGAGTTCCGAGGCGCCGGTCCCCAGAAGGGCCAGTGTGTTTTGGGTTCAGCATCAGCACTGGAGCCCTGCCGTGCTGCCACGGTGACCCCTGGAGCTCGTGGATCCACTACCTGTGTGTTCAGGAATTTTCTCCTGAACGCCGTGTATGTTGTTTGGAGACACAGTTACAGACATCGGATTTTCTTTTCTCTTGTAAGAAGAGATGATGCGTAGACATTTAAATTAATTCATTTGTTAATATCCTATACTGAAAACCTGGCAGCGTTTGGAGGAGTGACATTGTGGACACGCGATGCTACACGCTGCGTGTGGCTCCAGTTACTGCTGGAGGCGGTCCCCACCCCGGGCCTCATCCTCACCGAGGGCCCCTGCCTGACACACACGGAGCTGGTGGTCAGCACCCCACCCCGCACGGAGCCGCGCAGCCCTGTGTCCCCCCCGCGCAGCCTGTGTCCCCCACCCTCAAGACACGGAGCTGGCGGTCAGCACCCCACCCTGCACGGAGCCACGAGCTCCCCTGTGGCCCCCGCCTCGCACACGGAGCTGGCGGTCAGCACCACCCCGCACGGGCCGCGCAGCCCGGTGTCCCCTACCTCGCGCACACGGAGTTGGCGGTCAGCACCCCACCCTCGCACGGGAGCCGCAAGCAGCCCTGGTCTCACCCTCGCACACGGAGCTGGCGGTCAGCACCCCACCCTGCACGGAGCCATGCAGCTTGTGTCCTCGCCCGCACACGGAGCTGGCGGTCAGCACCCACCCCAAGACGTGAGTCACAAGAGTCTGGGTGTCCTCTTGCCTCGCACACGGAGCTGGCGGTCAGCACCCCACCTCAGCACGTGAGCCGCGCAGCCTCTGTGTCCCCTACCCTCGCACACGGAGCTGGCGGTCAGCACCCCATCCCGCACGGAGCCGCGCAGCCCTGTGTCCCCCCACCCCCTCGCACACGGAGCTGGCGGTCAGCACCCCACCCTGCACGGAGCTGCGCAGCCCTGTGTCCCTGCACCTTGTGTCCCCACACCTTGTGTCCCCACACCTTGTGTCTCCACACCTGGGCCACATTTCAGTTAACTACCAGATTCATCAGTGGGCCGGCTATGTGGGAAGCATGATGACTCCCTGGTGGGCTCCACAGCGTCTCAGTGGGAAATGCAGGTGGAGGGAGCGGCAGCCCTGTAAGTCCCGCGGCACTGCCACGGGGAGGGCCGGACCACCTACTGCGGTGCCTCTCCCCCAGCAGGTACGGCCTCATTGGCCTGGTTAGGAAATCATCTTTTGGCCTCACCGTGCCAGTCTAGTCGGCTCTCAGCTCCCTGAGTCAGGGAAAGGGGTGGAAAGGTGGATAGTCCAGCAGTGCATGTTCTAGAACCCTCTGCAGATGCAGCCGGGCCAGCAAGCATGTGCAGGAGGTGGGCGGCCACCTTCTTGGGTGTTGAGTGACTGCTCCTGCCTCAGGGCTGCAGATGCAGGGTCACAGCCCCCTGGTGAGCCCCGGAGCAGGCAGCATCCAATTTCCACATCCTCTGTCTTCCCATAAAGGAGACCTAACGTGGTAGTTTCTAGATCAAGATTTTTCTCTAAGTAACTCAGGGTTATTTTAACCTGCAACCTGTGGTCACTTTGAAAAAGCTAATGAAAATGCACTTTGATTTAACTTTGTGTCACTCAATATGGGTATAAAACAACAACAACAGAAAACCAAGAGCACTAAAGTTACCTTAACCACAGTAAAATATGCATTTGAATATTCCGGTAGGAGGGTAGGAATCCCCCAGGTCCTGACAGATCCACTCCAGCAGTCAGGCCTGTACTTGGGGATGCTTGGGCAGGTTGAGGATTGAGACAGTCTCTAATGATGCTAAAGAAGTGTTTCCTTTCTCTTTCCCTTTTCCCCCAACAGCTGCGGATAACCGTCTGGTCCTTGTGCACAAAATCCGTATCTTACATCAAATACCCAAAAGCTTGTCTGCAGGGTGAGTCGATCGGAGCTACGCAAAAGCCATTTCTTTGCAGCTGTTTGATTTTTTGTCACGGGAAGTTTCAAGTAGGCAGAATTAGCTTAAACAGCATATCAACGCATAGCCCGTCTGTTTGTCTCTATACCCACCCCACCGACAGCATATCAACGCGCCTGGCCGATCTGTTTGTCTCTATACCACCCCACCGACAGCATATCAGCGCGTGTAGCCGTCTGTTTGTCTCTATACCCACCGACAGCATATCAGCGTAGCCGTCTGTTTGTCTCTATACCCACCCCACCGACAACATATCAACACATAGCCGATCTGTTTGTCTCTATACCCACCCCGACAGCATATCAGCAGCGTGCCGATCTGTTTGTCTCTGCTACCCACCCCACCGACAGCATATCCTTGCGTGGCAGCCCGTCTGTTTCTCTCTCTACCCACGCACCCGACAGCATATCAGCGCGCCAGCCCGTCTGTCTCTCTACCCACCGCACCGACAGCATAGCAGCATAGCCGTCTGTTTGTCTCTCTACCCACCTTCGACAGCATATCACGCATAGCCCACGTCTGTCTCTACCCACCCCACCCGACAGCATATCAGCATAGCCCATCTGTTTCTCCCTATATCCACCCAGCACCGACAGCATATCAACGCATAGCCCGTCTGTCTCTCTACCCACCCCACCGACAGCATATCAACGCATAGCCCATCTGTTTCTCCCTATATCCACCCACCCCTTGGGCTCTTTTGAAGTAGGTCTTAGGTCTCCTCATGCTTCATCTGTAAATATTTCCATGCGTGTCTCAGAAAGGCAAGAGTCCCCTTTTAAAACATGACCACAGGGACTCAAGAGAGTGTGGCTTAAGACGTGGAAGAACAGTGGCGTTGATGCCGGTCTCCTTGACCTTGGTGGCAGAGCTGGGCGTTCAGACCCCTTCCAGCCGATGCCTGTCGAGAGGCCCACCTCAGACATTCAGTTCTGAGCTTTCTCTCTTCTGTGGACTAAATATGATCTCTGCGAAGGCAGGAGGTCTTGCCGTCATCTCTGGGCATCCCGGAGGGATATGTGACCAGTGTCCCTTCCTTGTGGAAGTCTGTGAGCCATCTGGAAGAAAGGGGGCCAGCTGAGGGTGGCCCACCACCAGCGCATCTAACTGGACAGTGCAGAGCTAGTGGGAGGCGCCACTCCTGAGTCCTGAACAACACACGGTGTCTTTCACGGGATGAAATGCTACATGGTTGAAATGATGCTTTCATTCTTCTCTGTTGCTGCCAGCGGTTTGGAAATTGCATTTGAATGAAATGCAATCACACTCTTGTTTTTCGTTTTTATAGTTGGAATATTAGCGTCCCTCCAGATGAGACACACACATTTCTTGAGTGGACACCATATTAGCACCCCTCCAGATGAGACACACACATTTCTTGAGTGGACACCACGGTTTTGTCATTTGAGGTATTCTCTTCACTCATGAATGATGAATTCTGGCCTGGGCTTTTTAAGCTAATACAGAACTGGCAAATAGAGTCTAACATTTTCAACTAGTTTCTTCCACATTTTCGTCTTATGATTATTTTTTTGAGACAGGGTCTTGCTCTGTCACCCAGGGTGGAGTGCAGTGACGCAATCACAGCTCAGTGCCGCCTTGACCTCCTGGGCTTAAGTGATCCTCTCACCTCAGCCTCCTGAGTAGCTGGGACTACAGGCACACACCACCACACCCGGCTGATACTTTGTAGAGACGGGGTTTCGCCAAGTTGTCCAGGCTCCTTTCAAACTCCTGGGCTCAAGCGATCCACCTGCTTCAGCCTCCCAAAGTGCTGGGATTATAGGCGTGAGCCACCATGCCTGGCCACACATTTTCATCTTTAGTTTACTTCTGCCAAATAATTAAATTCAAAGGTAAAATAAACATGACAGGAAACAGCCACCTTTTGCCTAGCTGGAGGTACCCCTGGGTGTCCTGCAGCTTAGCCATGGGGGAATTCGAAGGCCTTGTGTTTCTCAGTCACATTTGTGATTAATCAGAGGTCACATCACTTGGTATTTTTCACAGAGCCTTGCAAAGCAGTTCCTGTGTGTGTACAACCCTCCCCCAGCACGCACTGTGTTGTGAGGGGTGAAGCCACAGTGCCTTGGGGTTTCTCCTCTGCGCTAGAATGTTCTCGCCTGTCTGAGGAGCAGTGCTCGGCGTTGTGCCATTTCCCTTCTTTTCACTTCTGCTTTCTCTTCCTCTTCCTTCCTTCTGAATTACTACTGTGGTTTCTCTTCCTTGATTTTGTGGCCGCTTGATTTCAATGCATTTTCTTCTTCCCGCAGGAATCACCTTCACGAGGGACGGCCGCTACATGGCGCTGGCAGAACGGCGCGACTGCAAAGATTACGTGAGCATCTTCGTCTGCAGTGACTGGCAGCTCCTGCGGGTAAGGCGTCCCCCAGACTGGAATGAAGTTGTCCTGGTTGACTGTGGAGGGACTGAGTGAAGTAGATTCTTTTCCAGATTCCAGGGGATGTTTGGTAGGATATGGAGCAAGGTGGTGGTGTATTAACAAAGGGCAGGTGCACTGTGAATCGCTGCCAGCGGCACCCGGTTGTGTGTTCAGGAGACTTGGTGAAAAGGACACATGCCCGGGTGTTTTTAAAGTGAAGACGCTGTCACATTTGAGCCCTTTTCCTCGTCCTGTGTGATGGTGTTTGCGCATGTGGGTGTCACGTCGGGAGTGGGGAGGACATGGAAGTCCACCTTGGCTGAGGGCTGGCGCTAGGCAGGGCGCTCTGCCAGGTGCCCAGGTGCCCCCACAGCAGACATGTGAACACGATTCCAGCACAGTCCATCGTTAAGGTACAGCAAGCTCTGGAATGCTGTCGGAGCACAGAACCCAGGACCCAGGCAGTGCTCTGGAAGGGACTTGTCTGAGCTGGGTCTAAAGGAGTGAGCCTGGCCAGGCAAGGAAAGGTGAGCGGGGAGAATGCACGCGAGTGCAGGTGCGGGGAGACCAAGCCGCCATCGTGGGCTGGCCAGGCACCGATGCTGGCACCTGTGGGGGGTGCAGCCCTAGCAGCAGCTCCACAGGGATTTCCTGCATTTCCAGGATAGAGATGTTGAGATTTTGTCCGTTTCTATATAAGAAAATTAAGTGCATTAAGAACATAAGTTATAAATGCAATTATTTCTTTACGAAAATATTTTCCAAATTTAATGTTGCCCCCACTTCCTTTGGAAGCATTTTGATACGGACACCCAGGATCTCACAGGGATCGAGTGGGCTCCAAACGGCTGTGTGCTGGCAGTGTGGGACACCTGCTTGGAGGTATGAAGATGGCCAGGTGACGTGTTTGCTTTTGAGAGCTTTTCCCAGAATTTCATGCTTTCTGACTGCTGCAATATAGTTAGCTTTATCTTATTTCAGATAACAAGTTGAGCTTTGTTTTAAAAGACAGGGTTTTGCTCTGTCACCCAGGCGGGAGTGCAGTGGTGTGATCACAGCCCACTGCAGCCTTGACCTCCTGGGCTCAAGTGATCCTCCCACCTCAGCCTCCCCAGTAGCTGGGACCACAAGCGTGCACCACCATGCCCGGCTAATTTTTGTATTCTTTGTAGAGATGGGGTTTCACCATGTTGCCCAGACTGCTCTTGAACTTCTGTGTTCAAGTGATCTGCCAGCTTCAGCCTCCCGAAGTGCTGGGATTACAGGCGTGAGCCACGGTGCCCAGCCAAGTTGAACTTTTATCAGCGAGCCATTAGGTTGACCTCCCAATTTCCCCTTTTTCTCATGCTCTCACTGCCTCTGCAGTGACTGTCTCAGTTCTAGCTGGCAGTTCCAGCTTTTCCGCGGCCATGCGGACAGTCCTGCCAGCTTTGTGCTGTCTGCACCAGCGTCACTCTGCAGCACCCACCTCTGTGGCGTGTTCCCGGCGAATGGGACGTATTAATCATTAACGGAAATGTCTCGTCTGCAGTACAAGATTCTGCTGTACTCACTGGACGGCCGGTTGTTGTCCGCGTACAGCGCTTACGAGTGGTCCCTGGGCATCAAGTCTGTGGCCTGGAGCCCCAGCAGTCAGTTCCTGGCGGTTGGGAGCTACGATGGAAAGGTGGGAACCAGTGCAGGGCACTCAGGAAGTCCGACTGCCCAGCCGGCCGGGCCCTGCCTCACCTGTGCGTGGCTTCTTTCCTCAGGTGCGCATCCTTAATCACGTGACTTGGAAAATGATCACGGAGTTTGGGCATCCTGCAACCATTAATAATCCCAAGATAGTAAGTCTGGAACACGTGTTTCTGCCGGAGCAGGCTGCTGGGGAGGGCGGTGGGAAACCGCTCCTTTGCTTTTGCTTTCTTGATTGTGGTTTATTACTTAAACCAGGCACTTCCATCACCGTAAACTTGCTACTGTGACATTTCACATGTCTGGCCCTGCCCTGGCCTTTGTTCTTCCTCCTCCACACTGTCCAGAGGGTCTGAAGTGGGTCTTGCCCTGGCCTGTCCTCTGCCACTGCCACCCCAGCCCGGGTGTCTCCTTCGTGGTCTGTCTGGATGCAGATCCCTGTGCTGTACAGAGTGGTCGGGGTCTCCTGCCCCCAAACACTGAGCATCTGCTGTCATGCCAGGCACTGTGCTCTGGGCCGCAGCCAGAGGAGAACAGACACCTGCACCTGCAGAGTGCGGCTGGAGAGACAGGGAAGGGGCTGGAGAGCTGGGTGTTTCCATGGGGTGGCAGGGAGTGGCCACCAGCGAGGGATCAGGCACAGATGCTGAACCAATGTTCAGGGGTTCGGGGAGGGAGCGTTCCAGGCCAAGGGAATAGGAAGTGCAAGGGCCCCGAGGAGTGGGCCACTCATCCACGTGTGCAGTGGGCACTTGCCGCGCCTCTGTGTGCGGTGGGCACTGCCCTGGAAGACAGTTGGGGGCCAGAGACAAATGCTGCCCTCCTGGTGTTGACCTGCAACCGGCAGAGCTGAGTGAAAGGCGGCTTGGATTTGATGAAGAGGCCAGTGAGTGGCTGGGGCTGGGCGTTCCAGACCAACCACAGATGGGGATGCATCCCAGAGGGTGTTTAAGTGCAGACCAGGAGGAGGAGCTGAGGAGCCGCGCAGTGTCTGGGCAGAAAGGGTGTCTCAGGCAGAGGGGCCTCCTGACGTGGCCAGTGGTTTGTGTGGCTGGAGGCCAGGGCATCTGGACAGATGAGCCAGAGCAGAGCTGGCCGAACAGGTCCTGAAGGTTTGCCTGCGATTCTGGCATTCTCCAAATCCCTTCGCCACATAGCAGCAGAGCGCGCCAAGCTTGAAAGGCACGAACCAGGCCAGGTGACTCCCTTACCTGGGGCTCTTCAGGGGCGCGGGGGCTGCCCGCTTTCCACTGAGCCTGGGCCGCTGTCCTTTGCTTGCCAGGCTCTGGGGCACAGATGCCCCCACCTCAGGTCTGTGTCTGCTGCTCCTGGGGCCTCCGCTGTCTTGGCGCAAGTGTTCTGTGTATCCCCTTATCACGGGGAGAAGGCCAAGCCCGTTCCCTTGCTGGATGATGGTGGCTGCAGTGGCCTCCCGTCTATAATCACAGGGCACACATTTGCTGCCTGTGTCTCGTAAGGGTGGGCTCCCCACCAAGACACGAGCGAGGGTGGCTGGGTGATCTCAGCTCTCGGGACTGCGGGATTCGTATTTCCGTCTCTTTCTCCCAGTGGCAGCAGGACCAGGCGTCATGGCAGGTGCACGCCTGTTGACCATGTGCTGTCACAGGCATTTGCCACATCTATCCTCGTCTTCCGGGTACCTGTCCTGAGCTGGGCGTGGCCACCTTGTGTCTTTCAGGTGGTGTATAAGGAGGCCGAGAAGAGCCCGCAACTGGGGCTGGGCTGCCTCTCCTTCCCGCCCCCCGGGGCCGGGGCTGGCCCTCTCCTAAGCTCGGAGAGTAAATGTAAGTAGCACATGTGATGACATTTGTTTTCCTTTTTAATGCAAGATTCCTCATTGTCCAGATAAACTTCGGATGTTCCTTATGTTTAAAAAAAAATTTTTTTTCCTTTCCGTGCTTCCGGCCAGCGTGCCCCTCAGCCTGTTGGCTGGAGGTTGACTGAGGTCTGAATTGCGTAGTGGGCCATGAATGCGCAGCTTCTGTTACTGAATATGAGCCCTGGAGACCAGGATCTGACAGCGGGAGCTCCGAGGGGGATGTTTTTCAAAGAAACACTTTTCTGTGGGTGGTGCTCAGAGCAGGTCTGGAGGCCGGCGGTGCTCCCGAGCGGTGTCTCCAGCTTGAGGCCCGGTTCTGATGCAGCCTCTTGACTCCGGGCATTTCCTATGTATCTGTTTCCGCATCACTGAAATGGGCACAGAAAAAGCACTCACCTCACAGGGGCACGAGGGCATGTGAAGGTTGCAGGTAGAGGAAACGGTGCCCCGAGGGCTGATGGACCCAGCCCGGGGCTCGGGGTGTGCTCAGGACAGGGGTCAGGACAGGTGCAGCCTGGCACGCAGGAGGCGCTCCCCAGGAGCCCAGGGGCGTCCTTGTTCCATAGCCCCTGCCTCTGCTGTGGCGATGGTTTTCCCACAGCCGGAAAGTCTAAGGGTACTGACGCTGAGGTGGAAGGGATTGGGAACTCAGATGCTGGTAGTTGACAGAAAAGTGCCGAGGAGTTGGAGCTGCTGACATTGCAGCTGGGACCTGTCCATGCTCCTCTCCAGTCAGCCCCCGGCACGTGGGGTCCACCCCCCACCTAGTCGGGCCTGGCAGGTGATGGTGCCACTCTTATCCGGGGCACTTGCAGGCAGGCCCCTTGCTGCAGCTGCCAGGCTCTGCTCAGCTCTTCCTGCCCTCGGGCTGCACTTTCCTCCCCTTTGAACAGAGGAGCTGGGTTCGTGATGCCTGATGCAGGCACAGCAGCCTCTCAGCCGCGTGCGTACTTCCTGAAAGGGTGATGATGGCGTGTTCTTCTGTTGGTGTTCTAGATGAGATCGCCTCTGTCCCAGTCTCCTTACAGACACTGAAACCTGTTACCGACAGAGCAAACCCGAAAATCGGCATAGGAATGCTGGCATTTAGTCCTGACAGCTACTTCCTGGCGACAAGGAATGGTCAGTTGTGCTGACGCGGGTGCTGTCTCACCCCTTACTGTGTCCTGTGGCCCCAGGTGTAGAAGCAACTGGACACAGCACCTCCTTCCAAGTTTCTGCAGTAGCCGAGGTGCTGGGCCTGCTGTCCTGTGGCAGCTGCAGGCCCACACATGAGCCAGGAGGCCTCCGCCTCGCTCACTTGCTCCGCTCTGCTGAGTAGAAAGCAGGGCTGGGCACACTGCAGCCCGTCTTTTGTTAGAGGTTTCTCCATTTGTAAAGGGCTGAAAAAACAAAACAACAACAACAAAAAAACAAAGAAACCCATTTGGGCCCTTTACAGCCCGTGATGGCCATCCTGGCCCTAGCCAGGAGCCCTGCAGGGCCCAACTGAACCCAGACTGCAGGGTGGAGCCGCCCCACCCCACCCCACCGGTTCTTCCCCTCCCCTCCTGTGGTGTCAACAGCAGAGCAGAGGGGCAGGGCCTGAGGGCAGGGTGACACAGAGGAGTCAGGCAGGGATGACACCGGTGCCTTGTCCTTCCTTCCTCAGACAACATCCCCAATGCCGTCTGGGTCTGGGACATTCAGAAGCTGAGGCTGTTCGCGGTGCTCGAGCAGCTGTCCCCAGTGCGCACGTTTCAGTGGGACCCACAGCAGCCGCGGCTGGCCATCTGCACGGGAGGCAGCAGGCTCTACCTGTGGTCCCCAGCGGGCTGCATGTCGGTGCAGGTGCCTGGGGAAGGTGAGCACATCCCCAAGGCCATGGACGTGGCAGGCTTGCTCTGTGCAGTCTGGCGTCACACGGGCGGAACTGTTGAAGCCCAGTTGCTGTCTCCAGCCCTCAGAGTCTGCATAAACCTCAAGGCTGGCACACAGGGGACCTGCTGCCCTCAGCTTTATGGGCTAGAAGCAGCCTCTCCCTGACTTGAGGCAGCTCTGGGGCTCCACCCTGGCTCTGCCTATGTGGGTCACTCCAGGCACTGTGCTGGCCTGCAGGACAACGGGGTGCCCATCCCCCAGAATCTGGGCCTCTCCTGCTCTAATCCTCTGGCCACCTCTCTCTCTCTAGGCGACTTTGCAGTGCTTTCTCTGTGCTGGCATTTAAGCGGAGACTCGATGGCCCTCCTCAGCAAGGATCACGTCTGCCTCTGCTTCCTGGAGACGGAGGCATCGGTCAGCACAGCCTGCAGACAGCTGGGCGGCCACACGTAGCAGTGGTGCAGTAACGTGTGTGCAGAAACAGGGGCTGCTCTGCATGTTTCCAGTGTGGGAAAAAACACAGAGCTTCACCAGGAAGTTCTCCACCTGTGATGGTCTGGATTCAGTGATTGATTCTATTTTTCTAAAGCAAAGCATTTTTGTAAGTATGTATGGTATAAAACTGTAGTTATTATTTGAGGTAAATACTTGCTGATTCATACAACTGCTTCTTTTCTTGAAACATTTAGGTCACAGGCAGGTTTTCTAGGTTCGAGTTTCTGGTCAGTCTTAGGGAAGATGGACAGCCCTACAGTAACTGAGCCCTGGGCCACTGAGCTCCCGCCAGACACCCGGCCTGCTCTGGGTTTTCTATTTGGATGTGTTAGGACAAGGGGGGATCTCTGTGGGGCACATCCAGCCTCCCCACAGTGGGTTTGCTTTGAAGTGTGGGAAGGGAGCCTTGGCACCTGAGCGCAGCGCCACCCGCAGGTCCAGTCCCCTCAGGACAGAGCTGCAGGTCTCTGATCCACTGAGTCAGTTCCTCAGGAAGTCTCACGTCTACTCTGGTTTGAGAACCAGGGTGTGTGGGTCTCCACCCTGGCTATTTGCAGAAGTGCCTAGAACTACCCAGAACCATTCCATCAGTCTCTCCAGCTGATGCTCGGCAGGCAGCCGGGCTTGCCTGGCACCACAGGTGGGGGGCTCAAGAGTTGCAAACCTAGGTTGTTGCGTACCGTCATCTCTTTCTGCAGAGACCCATACTCAGCACTGCTATGAGGCAGTCCTCGTGGCACAGGCAGAGCAGGCCCACAGGCCCACAGAGCCGGCAGAGATGGGGCAGGCTTTCAAAGAGGGAAGAGACACTCACTTGGTTGTTGCACCTACTTTAATACCAACTTCAGAAAAGGAAAAACATCCGTCCACTTCTAAATGTCTTTATGAACACAGAGGCTGGAGTCCCCAGCCAGCTTCCGAGGCAGCCCTGCACATCCCGCAGGTGGCCACACTCAACCCACACCACACCGTTCGCTTAAAGCTACAAGTCTAGAGACGAAGAGCTGGCAAGCCAGCACGTGAAACTTATCAACAGTGCTTCCAGCCACATGAGCAAGCTGTGTAGATACGGGGAGGTGCGTGGGTCCCTGTGGGGAAATCCTCCAGGCACATCAAAGCCCAGGCATGTTTAGTGCGAGACTTGGACAAAGCCCCGAGTCTATGCTGGAGCTGTTGAGGAATCAAGGCAGGCATCAGCTGCTTCATAAGGATCTGAGAGACGGAGTCTTGCTCTGTTGCCCGGGCTGGAATGCAGTCAGTGGCGCCATCTCAGCTCACTGCAACCTCCGCCCTCCTGGGCTCAAGCAATCCTTCTGGCTCAGCCTCCTGAGTAGCTGGGACCACAGACGCGCCACCACGCCCGGCTGTTTTTTGTATATTTGGTAGAGACGGGGTTTCACCGTGTTGCCCAGGCTGCTCTGCAACTTCTAAGCTAGAGCGATCTGCCTGCCTCAGTCTCCCAAAATGCTGGGATTACAGGCGTGAGCCACTGTGCTGGCCTGACACGGTTCCTTGTTTTAAAGTGCATTATTCAAAAAGCAAACTACCCAATTCCCTTTTAAATATGAACACAATCCAAACTCAGAATCCAGAGCTGTAAAGCCTGTGTGCAAAGAACCGTCAAGGTGACTTTCTCAAATTAATAAATTGTCTGAAAATGATTTTCTGTAAAGCTTTCTGGGTCTGGGAAACAGACCTGAAGTATTAACACAACTTGGGTTAATCGTGGAAAAAGTGTGACTTCAGGTCACCCATTTCCAAAAGAGCAGCGGGTCACCAAGGGGCCCACAGGTACAGACCGGTCTTAGTCAACCGGTCTGCTGGCTGCTTTCAGATGAGCTGAAGTACAAATGGAACATTTTAAAATACAAAACTGGACACTAAGTGTAAACATACTTGCAACTGCCGGCACTCGAGGTACCAGGTGCCTCCGTTTTCAGCAGCTTATGCGAGCGCTGAGGGGCGTGCTGTGGGTCCCGCGTGCTGGGCCAGCGGGGGTGGGAAAAACCGCAAGAAGCCAAGTAGATACTTGAGGAAAACACCAGAAGTGCAGTTACAGAGGATGAAATACCAGCAGCACAGAGACAGCGACAGTCTTTTGGCTTCTGTCTGTAGCCTGTATTAGCAGAGTCCAATATCCAATTAAATAGATAGAATTCACTTTACTATTCTAATTGTGCTGAGGTCCCTAAAAGTAAAAGACCCCCATGCTTCCAGCCGGCAGCAGGGCAGCATGAAGACTGCCAAGCCTCCCAGTCCCCCAGCCCCCACATCCCTTGGCCTTCTCGGGAGGGGGAGGAGCTCCCAGAATGCAGCCAGCTAAAAGCCTATTTTGCCCCTGGTCATGGAGTAGCCTAGTTTAGCCTCGTTGTTAATGAAGGACATGAGTCCCACGTAGGTCTCGATGAGCAGGGGACGCTCCAGGATCAGCACGCCATTCGCCTGTCCTGGCAAAGGGCTTTCTTTTTGGGCTTTTTTGACAGCTTGAATTAACAGAGCCTTGAAGCTTTCCAACTTTAAAGAGAGAAAAAATGGAGCTTTAACTGGCAGGCAAGATAAGAGCATCTATTACTTGAAAAAATTAGCATTCTGAGACACTTAAATCCCTCCAAATGCCACCGATCTCTTCGTCCCTTCACTTGAAAGGGCTGCCTCTGCCACATCCTGGCAGTCCCTCAACTCTCATCCCCATGGAGCTCTCTAGGTGTGTGGAAATCTCACCACCCTGCTCTTCTGTAGCCAATGGCAGCTGGCACCTGCAGAACCCTTCCTGTATACAGGGGCTGAGTGGCTTTGCCCTCACCCAACCTACCAGGTCAGTAAATAGGCCGAGGCACAGAGCTGGGGAAGTGCAGGACCCCCGCCAGGCTCTGGGCTCTGCTCTAACCCCAGCCCCGAGGCCTCCTCTCCTGGTGTGCATCTGCACTGGTCATCTGGCACGGCTGGGTCTGCTGCCGCCCTCTGAAGCCCAGTGGGGGCCCTTCTCCACCCAGATCACCATCAGGAGGTCACATAACGGAGCTAGGCTGACCAGCAGCCACTGGCCGCACAGGGCTACTTTAACATAAATTAACCAGAATTTCTGAAAATGTAGGGAATAAACTCTAAAATGAGAGTTTCCTCTCTGACTGTTCCTAGCCTCGTCTCAAGTGCCCAGCAGCTCCGCGTGGCCGCCGGACAGTGCAGACCTGAGTGTCTCCGTGGCTGGGGAGGGTGTTTCTGTCACTGTGGGGGGAGGTGTCAGTCACTGTGGGGGGTGTGGCTATTACATGCCTGTCTTCTTACCTGGCACAGAGATGCTGTCTTCTCATCTGCGCCAGCCATCGGGTGTTCTGTGAAAGTGGCATAGGGCACGTTGGTAGACCAGGGATTCCATCTGTTTATGAAGGAAGGACGACTTTGCTTGTCCCACTGAATTCGAATCCCAAAACCTTCTCGCCTGAAAAGTCAGAAGAAATAGCCAGACTTAGCATGGCAGGCCACAGTGCTCCCACGGACAATCTGACAATCTCATCAGGAGAGTATGACAGCAAAAAGCACTTTCACGTTTACAGAAAAGACCTATGACATATCACAATGGAAAATGGCTAGTGGTTTTTAATAGTAACTTCAATCTCAACAATTGCTTTAAATACTGTACTTATAAATATGACAAATTAAATATATTTTGGTTATTAAATGTATCATTTTAGTAATCTTTACATGATTAAAAACTAATAAACAGGAATACTGGCTGGGCACACTGGCTGATGTCTATAATCCCAGCACTTTGGGAGGCCAAGATGGCAGATCTCTTGAGCCCAGGAGTTTGAGACCAGCCGGGGCAACCTAGCAAAACTCCATCTCTACAAAAATTACAAAAATTAGCTGGGCTTGGTGGCAGGCACCTGTAATCCTAGCTACTTGGGAGGCAGAGGTGGGAGGATCACTTAAGCCTAGAAGGTGGAGGATACAGTGAGCCAAGACTATACCACTGGTGCTTGGGTGACAGAGTGGGACTCTGTCTCAAAAAAAAAAAAAAAAAAAAAAGAGGGAATAATGATAGATAGGCTATTCAAATGAGTGAAAAGCAAGTGTAACCTTCCTTTTCCTTATGTCATATTAAATGTTCCTTAAAATAAAATTTTAAATAAAATTTTAACCAACATTTAATAAAAATAACATTTTATTTTTAAATATAAATTTATTTTTATTTATTTTTAAAATAAAAATGTTAACCAAAAGCTAAAATTTTTATTTTAGCTTCCTGAATTCCCCACCCAAATCTCTCCATCAAAAATCTAAGTTCTACAGCTTAACTGACTGTAGTAATGTCTAGGTTCCTCACATTTCAGAAAATTATCCTACAGCGAAAAGATCAACTCCTTAAAGTTGGTCATTAAATATTTCCAAATTTGTCTAACTTTTAATGGTATCTATAAATTAAAATGGGACCCTCCTTTTCTCTTTAAAAAATTAGCCAGAGCAAGACTTGATGTGTCATGCATCTGTCCCTGGCTGGAGAAAAAATGCAGAGTTTGGCCTTTACATGAAGAACATCCAAGTTCCTTTTTATCACATTGGGCTCTACTTCAGTGCATCTTGAACTCATGTAAATCTTTTTACTACAAGCCTAATAGCTGCCTTCTGTGCCAGATTTCCTTTTAATACACTCAATTGCCCAGAAGTCGCTTCTTTTTAAGGAACTTCCCATTGATATTTGGAGCTGGGGCCTTTATGCTTATAGATAATAGCAGAGAAGATACACCACTTGGGGGGCTGATTTAAAAGGGCTGAATTGTAAGGTCCACTCTGGCACTTACGTCCAGGGATACCGGACTCTGAACAGACTTACTTGTTGAGCGATTTCGGGGGAAACTGGAATTCTCCGTAGGAAATGGTATCTACTGCGTTGAGCGCTATCCGGACCACCTGCTGGCACTGGAGACTGATGAAGTCGTATTTACAGATAAGCAGTGACTGCTCCGTGACCAGCACCAGCCGCTCCTTCTCATTGTTCCAGTGATCCACCCTGCAAGCAGAGGAAGGGCCTCAGTCCACACTAGACGCGACTGTCTCGACTTAGGCAAAGCCAGCCCGCCTGGAAGGGCAGCAGGGGCGGCGCGGGGCGCCTGAGCGTGGCACGAGCACCCCGGGAGGTCCTCGCAAGGTGCTGCGCGGCGGCTCGGGGCGACTCCCCCCAGAGAGGAGCGCGCAGCCCCGGCTTACTCGGTCAGCAGCCACACTCCCTGGATCTCGCCGTCCTCCACGGGCCGCACCACCACGCGGATCTCCTCCACGGCCTGCTCGATGCTGCCGGGCTGGGCGGGAGGGCGGGGCGGGGGCAAAGATCACAGGTCACAGGTCGCTCCCTGCGGGACCGCCTGGCGCCCGCCTCCGCCACCACCCGCCACCATCCCGCCCCGCGCCCTCGGCCCCGGCCCCGGCCCCGGCCCCCGCCTCACCCGGAACACGAAGTACTCCTTGACGCGGGCGCGGCGCGTGGGGTCGTGGATGCTGAGAGGCCAGAGTGTCTGGCGCAGCGGCGTCCCCGTCCCCGGCCGCCCCCCGCCCGGGCCGCCGCCTGTCCCCACCTCCTCGCCGGCCGCCAGCACCGCCGTGGGGCTAGTGCTGGTAGAGTCCACCGAGTCCCGCAGCTGCAGCATCGCCGCGCCTCTTACCGACCCCAACCCTGACGCCGACGCGGCCGCTGTCGCCGCAGCCACCGCCACTGCCACAGCCCGGCCGCGCCCCGGCCCCGCCCCGCGGACCTTTGCGATTGGCTCCGCCTTGCCGGCCCCGCTTCTGGCTCCGCCCCTTCCCGCGCCCGCTGACCCTCGGGATTGGTTCTCCTTCTGCCGTTTTCCGCGATTGGCTCCGCCTTGCCGCCCTTCACAATAGCTCCCGCCCCTCCCCGCGCCGGAAGCGACCGTCACGCGCAGGCTCACTTCCTGTTTACAGGACTAGAAGGGGCGGGGCCGAAGCCGGTTGCCCGGGTGTCTCGGAGCGGCCCGGAAGGAGGGTCTGGGAATCCTGGAGCCCCTTGGCCCGCGGGGAAAGCGGGTGACCCGCCCTGCAAGTGGCATGCCCCCTTTGGCCTTCTGGAGCGTAGGCGGGAACTCACACTGCACGGAGGGTCGCGGTGCCCGGGAGTTGAGGTTGGAGGATGCGGAGCGGTGGCCCCGGTGCACCGAAGGGGAGTTCGCACGCCGGGCAGCGGTCTCCTGCCGGGACCCGGCGTTCGTCACACACGGCGCATTCGTGACTGATCAACAGCACAGTACACTCTGAGGCGGGAGGGTAGAAAGTGCTGGAGTGCGCGCCCAGGCCCTGGCTGTCGCAGCTCCCAGGCTGTCGCGAGCCTTCAGCGAGCCAGTGCGCACAGAAGGCTGCCCAGAGCTCCGGGTCTGCGCTCGCAGTTCGAGGTGGAACGTGTGTGTGCCCTGCGCTAGCCCCAGTTCTCGGAGGTGCCCCCAGCGCCTGTGGAGGGGGCGATGAACGGACCTGCAATCTGGAGGAGGCTGCGGGAAGGAGGTGCGGAGTCCAGGGGTCAGGGTTACCTTCGGGCAGGAGAACAGATCCCTCTGCTCGGAGGTGAGGAAGACACACGAGGCGGGGTGCACGCAGGAGAGGAGAGTGAGGTGGGGGGAGAATGAGTTCAGGGTACATCTGTTTCCTTCAGTCAAGGAGTGGGTATGGAGCGGAGTGTTGGTAAAGATGGACAGTTTAGAATCGCCGGAATGAGAAACGGGTAGAGAGAGCTGATCAGGGAAGGGCATGGGGATCTCTGAGCAGCTGCGAGACCCCAGGGAAGTTTGCAGTGGCGCCTCCCACGCGGCATCTGGGGCAGGGGGAGAAACCAATGCTGGGCTGGTCTAGACGGAGGAGTTTGCTGGTTAGCAGTGGTCAAAGACCAGGGAGAAAAGGGAGGCCAAGATCCTCGAGGGAGTGTTTACCCAAGAATGGTGTAGTGCAGGGATTCTGCCCCACTTGCCAGCAGACAGGCCAGCCTGCCAGAGTTGCGTGGACGCTGGCAGAAACACGCAATACCTCCGAGTCAGAGAGGAAAGACTACAATGGGAAATGGGCGACGCTGATGTGCCCAGACACATGTTGCAGCACAGTGGGTACGCTACAAAACGGGACTCGAGAGCTTGTGGACCAATGTGGTCTTTGTCCCACAGGGAGGCTGTCTCCCCGGCAAGGGTGCCCACTGCAAGTACAGGCCTGAGAAATGACCCAGAAAAGAGTGGTCAGGGCAATGTGTTCTTGGCACGCCCAGCAAGACTGGCCAGAGGGACTTACAGACGAGTGTGTCTCCCAGCTACCTCCCCAGCGGGGACCTTGAGGTCCAAGTGTCCAGTCTGGTTAGAAATGGCCGCAGATCCAATAGGCGCTGGTGAGTGGGAGAATACCCCTGAGGGAGGAAGAACAGAGGTGAGGAGGGAGCTGAGTGAATGTAGATGAGAAATACCTGGACACTGCAAGCTGTGGTCAGTGGTGAGCAACTAGAACCAGAGGTTCCAGAGAGAGGGAGTGAGAAAGAGGGAGGGAAAGGGAGAAAGAGAGGGAGAGAGAATGGGGGTGAGAGAGAGGGAGAATGACGGAGAGTTCTGAACAGACGCCAAGGATGGAGCTGTGGTCCTGGAACCAGCTGCCCAGGGAGTGGGATGAAGAACCCTGGGCATGGGAGCCCAGGGCCAGTGACACTGGCTGGGGCCGAGGCTGCAGGCTGCTGGCGGGAGCTGGCAGGACAATGAGGATTATGAACCAGGTGCCTGAGCCTTCTGTGGATATGGGGAGTGACTTGGATGTCTATACATAAATTCCAGAAATGACAGGAGGGATAGATGATGGAGGGACTGTGTTTTAGACAATAAACACATTTCAGTCAGTATGGATGAGTTTCCTGGGCTTCTGTCACAGTGCACCACAATGCATCACAAACTGGTTTGTTTTAAAAACAACAGAAACGTGTTTCCTCACAGCTCTGGAGGCCAGAAGTCCAAAATCAAGGGGTGGGCAGGGCCGTGCTCCCTCTGCAGCCCTGAGGGTTGAGGCATGCCTTACTCTGCCAGTGTCTTGTGTTGCCAGCCATGCTTGGCATCCTGGGCTTGCTCATGCACTGCTGCCATCCCTGCCTCCATCTTCATATGACCTTCTCCCAGTGGGTCTCTTCTGCAAGATCCCTATTGGATTAGGGAGCACCCTAGTGACCTCATCTTTAGTTGATCATCAGCATCTTTGACCAAATAAGGTCACTGTGTTTGTTTGTTTTCACACTGCTATTAATGTGAAGAACTTACCTGAAGCTGGGTAATTTATAAAGAAAAGGTTTCATTGACTCACAGTTACATATGACTGGAAAGACCTCAGGAAACTTACAATAATGGCGGAAGGCAAAGGGGAAGCAAGGCACATCTTACATGGCGGCAGGGGTAGCGGGATGTGCCACACTTAAACCATCAGATCTCGTGAGAATTATGACAAGAACAGCATGGGGGAAATCGCTCCCATGCTCCAATCACCTCCCCCCAGGCCCCTCCCTTGACATGTGGGGATTACAATTCAAGATGAGATTTGGGTGGGGACACAGCCAAACCATATCATATTCTACTCCTGGCCCCTCCTAAATCTCATGTCCTTTTTACATTTCAAAACCAATCATGAGGCCGGGCGCGGTGGCTCAAGCCTGTAATTCCAGCACTTTGGGAGGCCGAGACGGGCGGATCACGAGGTCAGGAGATCGAGACCATCCTGGCGAACACGGTGAAACCCCGTCTCTACTAAAAATACAAAAAAAAAAAACTAGCCGGGCGAGGTGGCGGGCGCCTGTAGTCCCAGCTACTCCGGAGGCTGAGGCAGGAGAATGGCGTAAACCCGGGAGGCGGAGCTTGCAGTGAGCTGAGATCCGGCCACTGCACTCCAGCCTGGGCGACAGAGCCAGACTCCGTCTCAAAAAAAAAAAACAAAAAAAAAACAAAACCAATCATGCCTTCCCAACAGTCCCCCAAAGTCTTATTACAGCATTAAAAGTCCACAGTCCAAAGTCTCATCTGAGACAAAGTCCCTTCTGCCTATGAACCTGTAAAATCAAAAACAAGTTAGTGACTTCCAAGATACAATGGAGGTACTGGCACTGGGTAAATGATCCCATTCCAAAAGGGAGAAATTGGCCGAAACAAAGGGGCTAAAGGCACCATGCAAGTCCAGAATCCAGTGGGGCAGTCATTAAATCTTAAAGCTCCAAAATAATTTCCTTTGACTGCATGTCTCACATCCGGGGCCACACTGATGCAAGGGGTGGGCTTCCAAGGCCTTGGGAAGCTCTGGCCGAGTGCCTGTGGCTTTTCCAGGCGCAGGGTGCAAGCTGTTGATCTACCATTCTGGGGTCTGGAGGACAGTGTCCCCCTTCTCACAGCTCCACTAGTCAGTGTCCCAGTGGGGACTCTGTGGGGGCTCCCACCCCGCATTTCCCCTCTGCATTGCCCTAGCAGAGGTTCTCCATGAGAGAGGGCTCTGCCCCTGCAGCAGACTTCAGCCTGGACATCCAGGCGTTTCCATACATCCTCTGAAATCTAAGCAAAGGCTCCCAAAGTTCAACTCTTGTCTTCTGCACACATACAGGCTCCGTCTGGGCTGTACCTTGACCCCTTTTGACCCTGACTGGAGCTGATTTTGCCTCCAAGGTCTCTGAGCCTGTAATGGGAAGGTCTGCTGTGGTGCTCTCTGAAATGCCCTGGAGACACTTCTACAGCTCATGGCTTGAATTTCTCCCCAGAAGATGGGTTTTCTACCACATAGTCAGGCTGTAAATTCTCCAAACTTTTATGTACTGCTTTGCTTTTAAACCTAAGTTCCAATTTCAGATCATCTCCTTGTGAATGCACATGACTGTACGCTTTCAGAAAAAGCCAGCTCACATCTCGAATGCTTTGCCGCTTAGAAATTGCTTCTGCCAGGTACCCTAAACCATCTGTCTCCAATTCAAATTTCCACGGATCTCTAGGACAGGGACAAAATGCTCCTAGTCTCTTTGCTAAAGCATAGCTTTGCTCCAGCTCCCGGTAATTTCCTCATCTTCATCTGAGACCACATCAGCCTGGACATTGTCCATATCACTATTAGCATTTTGGTCAGTACCATTCAACAAGTCTTTAGGAAGTTCCAAACTTTCCCACATCTTCCTGTCTTCTGAGCCCTCCAGACTGTTCCAACCTCTGCCCATTACCCAGTTCCAAAGTCACTTCCACATTTTCAGGTATCTTTGTATCAGTGCCCCACCCTCCTGATACTAATTTTCTGTATTAGTCCATTTTCACACTGCTCTAAAGAACTATCTGAGACTGGGTCATTTATAAAGGAAAGAGGTTCCATTGACTCACAGTTACACCTGGCTGGGGAGACCTCAGGAAACTTACAGTCATGGTGGAAAACGAAGGGGAAGCAAGGTACGTCTTACATGGTGGCAGGGGTGGGGGACAGGAAGTGTCACACATTTAAACCATCAGATCTCCTGAGAACTCACTATCACGAGAACAGCAAGGGAGAAATATGCCCCCATGATCCAATCTCTTCCCACCAGGCCCTCGACACGTGGGGAATTACAATTTGAGATGAGATTGGGGTGGGGGCATAGAGCCAAACCATACCCGTCATATTCACAGGCATTGGGGTTAAGACGGGACTGTGCCTTTCTGGGGGACACACGTAATGATGTGTCACACATGTGCATGATGGAACGTCCAGCCAGATGGCCGCTCTCTCCACACACACTGCTGGTGGGGTAGGGAAGATGGTTTGTGATTGGGGTCTGGCTGTGAGGTCCCGGGAGGGGAGCCCCTGAGTTTGTCTATTTCTTGGGGCTTTGAAGAAGCTATTTCCATTTCTGTCAGCAGGTGGCAGCATCAACCATATGAGGCCTTCCAATCAGAGGGCACAGCTTTGCGCTGGGTGTGTATTCAAGCTCTAGATGAAATCATTATTTAGCTTCCTGCCACTGGAAATCTCAGCTGGGAAGTGTGGGTTCTTATCTTAATTTCCATATGTTATGGTTTTGCATTTTACAAAATCAGTGGGTCCTGCCTTTGCCCTCATTCTCTGATGGATGCGGGAGTCGGGGGGCCAAGTGCCAAAGGGCAGCCCAAGGGTGGGGTCCTCTAGGTGCCTGCACCAGCTCCCCCAGGCTGGAGGTCAGTGCGCAGCCTGGAGGCGCTTCCTGCATGCAGGGTCCTTGGCTTCCAGAGACAGCTGTGCTTTGGGGGATGCACTTTGAGCTGAGGAGTGTTTCCCAGCCTCTCCCTTCTCCATGGGGCCAGGGCTGGGGCTTGGCGGGTCCCAGGGCTGTGTGCGAGGCTTGGGAGCGCTTGGGGCAATCATGAGCGCTCAGGTGGTGTCTTGCAGACACGGCTTTTACTCTTTGGCAAGGCATGACAGAAGCCGAAGCAACTTCCACAAATAAATGCCTCTCCAGGCAGGCGGGGAAGGGGCCTTTCGGATGGGTTTGAGGATCAGGAGCAGGCTGCGGGGGAGTAGCAGGGGTGTCATTCTCATGCAGTTCTCAAAGGCTGAGTCGCGTTGATGGTCATTTTCTC